GCGTGAGACTAAAAGGTGGGAAGAAGGTGGGGACTCCTAAAACTCTAAGTTCTCTCACTCAAGTCAAAGGTGAAAAGTAAATTTTATCATTTACCTAGTAATAATCTTATTTATCCCCTTATTTTGGAATTTTAGAGGGGTAAATTTCAAAATCTACCCCAACACATTTTTAATAATTTTTTCTTAAATTAACTTTCAAATTCTGATTATCAATTTTAAATTAGATTTAAGTTAACTGTTTAAATTTCATTAATTTGATTGGATAAAATTGATTTCCTAAAATAAAGGCCCGTTGTTTTTGCTRTTAGTTAAAAATCCTTAAATCCCTAAAATTATGCCTATATACATTGGTTACAAGGCTATATTTGTCTACAAAATATTTTAGAATTTAACGAAAAAAATTAATTAGCCATTATTGCAATATTTTATAGGTTTGGACATTTTTTAAAATGCATTATTAATTTTAGTCATTCGTGCCATTGTCCCTAAATAAAATCTTCATCTCTTCTCTGCATCTTCTAGCTCACTGTTGTCGCCTTTCTTTTTCTTCTCTTTTGGTTTTCCCTCACACCTTTGCAGCCAAATACCGATTTCATCGTTAATAGTAAGTAAAAGTAAATTTATGTTTTTCTTTTCTTTTTTTGTTCTTTTTTTAGTTCTCTACAAACTAATTTTTTTTAAGGAAAGAGAATATTATTTACTGTGTTTGATTTTTTTGTTTATTTTAATTACTTTAGGTTGTGTTAAGAACTTTAGTAGATTGAGCCGATAATTAATTTTTGATCTATTAAGGTAAGTGACTCTGATTTCGGAATGGCCTTAGGGCTAGGTTGGAAATTTTTACATGGTTTTTTATTGGCTATAAGATGAATGTTGTTTATGAATTGGCTATTGTGTGAATTGTTTTGCTGCATTACAGAAATTTAATTATGGGACCTCATGCATGATCTTGAATGAGAAAATGTTTTTTTTTAATATATATAGAAATTGTGGCAACCATCTACTGTAATGCACAGACTAGATTGAAATTAAGGACATAGGTGGGTGAGACTTGAATCTATTGACCGGGTGCCAACTACCATCAGTTGGGGTGGAATCTCCCAGGAAACTCACTTATGTACCATAATAGAGTTGGTATCGTCTGCATTGGGGTTGGGTTAACTGCTCACATTGGCCAAAAGGAAAGTGAAAAGTAAAAGGAAAAAGGAAACTGATATTGACGAATAAAGATTTAAGAAAAGCAAAAAGAAAGGGGACTTCTTCTTCCAAAGATTGAAGAATTGCTGGTACTAGCAGCTTCTTCTTTCCTTTTTTGTTATGTTGAGACAATGTTGAAGGCAAGTAAAGCACTAAGACAAAGTAGCAATATGTCCCATATAGTTATGTTATTAAATGATGAAATTTGTGTGTGCGCATGTCTGATCCTGTTAGCTGGGTTACTTATTGGGTATTTTTAATACTTGTTGTTTTTCTTCTAAAATTTTTTTTAGGTCGCAAGACATATTAGACAAGTGACGGGCTGTTTGCTGAGTGCGCCATTGGGACCTCGTCAACATAATTTTATTTCCGCAATCCATATTGAACTACGTTGAAGTGATTTATTTTAAAAATTTAGGGATAATGTTTTCTTTTTATTCACAATTTAATTATTATTTAATTATTATTATTTTTTAGAAATTGCTTGGTTTTGTTTACTTTTTCTTTATCCCAAATAAAGGTTCCAACTATTTTGTTACTTATGAGATTTTCGCTATGACATTTATGTTGTTGCCATTTTTTTTAAATTTAAAACGTTGAAAGCATGTAGTAACGTCCATAGTTAGTCTAAGTCCAAAAAGTTGGGTGGTTACAAATTATGCTTAAATATCTTTTCACAAAATCATTAATTCTATCACTCCCAAATACATCCTAAATTTGTTCTCCATATGTGATCTGAGACTGCCTTTGTGTCGTCCGATATGGTTATCCCTTGTTCCTTTAAATTTTTCTAATACTTCTTGTAGACCCTCATAAATTTTCAATTCTATCGACATCAATTCTAAACTTAAACAAGTATTCACAATTTTCGATTTAAGCATAATTCAACTGGTTAAGGTACTCATATCCGACCATGAGTACTATGAGGATATGAGTTCGAATCTCCACCTTCCAAAATTTTGGCCCCTTAATTCATTTTTTCAATCATAATTCCAACCGACACTACATTGAAATGTAACAATGATTTTATATTAAAGAGTTTCTATTATGTGTCGAATTCGTGTTAAAATTTTTGTAAATAGGAACCAATTAAAAGTATCCATTTTTAATAGTAAAGGGTCCAAAACGAACATTTAAAGTACAGAGAATAAATTAAAACAAGTTAAAGTTGAAAGTATATGAACCAAATAAAGTACTATATGGACCAGAATTATATTTTAACCAAATTAAAATGATTTTTCTAAAAAGAAATAACAATAATAATAATAATAATAAAATTCTGAAACGAAATTACGAATTAATGAAAACAAAAACCACAACAAGTTTTAACAACCCTACCTAAGACGACAAAAAATGCTCACTTCAAATCCTACTTTCATTTTCAAAAGAGTACACTTTTATTCAAGTTTGTTGTATACTTACTGTGTTTTAGCTTTTATATTTTTAAATAGGCTTTGCTTCTCAAATATTAATAGATTTTATTTTTATATTTATAGTTAAATTTATATATTACCTTTAACAAGCCATTCATAATATCAACCAATATGAGTATAGTTAAATGGTAATTAGTATGTATTACTTCTCGACGTTGGAAGTTCAATCTCTCATATTCTCAAATTATTGTACTAAAAAAATAAAACACAATATCTAACCTGACCCATGACTACTTTGGGAAAAATCTTACTCCCTACCAAACCCAACAAATTGAAATATACACAATTTTGTAGTGTTAGGTAAGATTTCTATTTTTTCCTTCTAAATAAATAATACTTATGTTTCTAGAGAAAAATAAGATTGATATTAAATGAAGTAATGAACCACAAGTTACTAGAAATCTTGTGACTACCCTTAAAATAAATAATAAATAAAAATCTTGTGACTATCCTCAAGTAGAATAAGATCAAAATATATTTAAAATCACATCTTCACTAAATTACTTTTTAGTTATTATATTGTTCTCTAAGTTATTAAATATTCACTATTTTAGTACCAAAAGCATAACAAAGATACTATTTTAATCATGGTTTTCATTTTTACATTTATTATTTCAATAAAAAAATATCGAGTTATTTGAAACTTGATACTTAACCCATCTTAAGCATAGTTTTAAATTCAAATAATTATTTATATAGACATTATTTTCATAAAGTAGAGATGTCTTAACTATTAAACTATTTTTCTGTAGACCATTCACATCTAATAGATAAAACCTCAATTTTTTATTGAATAATTTATCAAAATCAATGTAAAGACTAATATAATATAAATCTCGTGATTTAGAGATCAAATTCAAAATGGAATAAATATAAAATGAGAAAGTTAATCAATGAAAACCAAGAATTATGGCAATAGCGTAATTTTATGTCCTCCAGCAGTTTGAATTTTCCAACGGTCAAAAAGGAATTTGTTAATATTATGTTTATGCCACACCGCGCACTTCCTGAAACATCTCCAGACCGTACTACGGGAATTAAAATGAAATCTACACCGTCCATTCCATCAACAGAATCAGAAGACTCTGCAAATCGAACGGTCACCAAAAAAAAGTGTGTATCTATATATATAAAATTTATTTTTTCATTCACAGGCGCCATTTATTTTTATTCCTCTGAGGGAGACGAAGGGTTCAACGATGGCCTGAAAATGGAGGTATTTTGAAGCTTTCGAAAACCTCCAAACTCACAAATCGCTAATTCGCCTCGCGAGTTTCTTCAATCCCAGAAAATTTCAGCGTCGATAAATGGCGCCCATGAAGTTCAATGATCATTGGGCTTTTCTGGTATCTGCTTTCGTTCTTGAATTTATTTTTTATTCTGGGATTCTGGTTTAATTAGTTAATCTTGTTTCTCGTTCTTTGTTCGTATTTTTTTTGGGGTTTCTTGCGGAGAATTGATTTATTTTTTTCAATGTTTGATTTCTTAGGCTTTCCAAATATTGTCATCAAGTTTCTTGAGTATTTCGTTAATATTTTGTTAAATATCATGTTTCTCTTCATTTTACTTATGCTTGAGAATCAATGGGGAAAGATAGTACCCAATTTTCATAGAAATTGATTTATTTTTAATGATTCTAATTGTGAATCGATATGCTAAGAGGGAGAGACGGTGGTCAGTTTTGAAATATTAGGTGAATTTAAAAGACAAAAAACAAGGTTCCCAAAAACCACTTTGTTCCAGTTTTTAAAATTTGGTCATAATTTTCAAACCAAATTTGGAAATAGTAAATAGTGTAGAGAACTACAAACAAAAACATTATCAATTGGGCCTTATTTGTTTGAATTTTGTTTATTGATTTCTGATTGATACAGGAAGAATTTGAAGCACCCATGTGGGTTGATCTCACCTTAGAAGGGAAGTCCAACAATCATAACATGTGAGTATCTGATATAATTTTTCATGGTTTATGATCATATTAATATGCATTTAATACCATGAAGTTTTTTAATTATTGATCATACTAATTTCATATGCTTTTACTCTTTGATTGCAGTGATGATAAGTGGTTCTATACACACCACCCGTAAGCGCCCTTGATAATTTGTTCATTTGCACTGATAAATGTGAAAGTATATACATTCCGTGATTTAGTTCTTTGTGCTTTTCTTAAAAAAACTAATACACATATCAGGATCCATCAATGCTCCTATCATGACCTGAAATCAGCATCTTCTCAGCTTTTAGGGGAGGGTAAGAATTTAGATTTTGAATTATCGGTGTCTTCTTCTCCGAACATTCCCGACTCTGTCTCGAGATCAAGAGGGAACGACTTTGACGACAAGAAGTGGAAAGGCAGCTGTCGGGATTTCACAATAGACAAGCATATGGTAACAAGTCAACCATTAGGCAATTCTAGTACACTTTTGTCAGATATGAGGAGAAGTCTTAGGAAAAGCTATGCCACTAGACAAGCATCAAGATTGGAGGTTAATAACAACAGTCGAAGACAGTCAAGTGGCCGTAACTCTTCTTCGAGTAATTCCAGTGTATGCTCCTCTTTAAATCCTGGTTTTGGTGCTAAAATCATCAATTCTATGTCTGAACAAGATCCCAAAAAAGCTCGAGGTCTCGGAAGCTTTTCGAGGATGACTCATGCAGCAATGAACAAGTCAAAAGTTTCAAGTGTTTCTTCAAGCACATTAATGATTCAAGTGGAGGACGTGAGTTCCAATTCAAGGAGGTTTGGTAAAGTCTATAATGCTAAGTCAGCCCACATGGAGGCTTCAAAACCAAAGGTGAGGGAAGCTGTTATAATTTTGAGATTGAGATTTCTATATATCAAAAGTACTTCCCTCAACTCAACTTGCTAACTTTGATCAACAAATAAATGGTATTGAGAAAATATTAATATATTACTGTGTTGAAACCTTCCCAACGATGTCGTGAGACATACTTAACATTGTTTGTTCTGCATCAGATACTTCGTTCAAAATCTTCTCTACTACAGAAAAGAGACGAGCAAAATGCTTGTTTAAGGCCAAAGAAAAAAGGAGTTTTGGCTGGAAGATGCAAAATAGCTGTTGCTGGAAAGGAGAATGCAATAGGAGGGAGAATTGCTGTAAGTCAGAAAGGTGATGGTAGAGTCCCTTCTACTGTTAGTATGGTCAAGGATCAGAAAAGGACACAGCATAAGGTTCCACAAAGAATAGGCGGGCGAAGTGTGGTTAGCTTGAAGGTAAGAGATCATAGATTTCATTTAGAAGTAGTAATTGTTTATGCTTGTTTTACCGACGATAAAATATGGTAATCTATATTTGCATTATTTTCTGGATTAAGAAGGAATTTGATGACATTCTATTATTTTTGCACTTGTTCATAGGATGGGTTGCTTTATTCTGATCACACGATCTATTTTATTGAGATAACTCAAGAAAATGCAAGATATGTGATTAACCAGTAAAGACTGCCCAATGTGACATATTCTATTTGCTGTCATGTCACATAAACTGATACGATTGTGAAATAATGAAAGATGAGATATCATAATGAAAGAATTGAAAAGTCTAAGAATGAAGTTGAATATGAGTTTGAAGATCAAAGCAACAATTTAAATCACTTTAGTGATCTTAATTTTGTAGTAGTTAATTTGATCAGATTTACATGGATAATTTTTGTGAAATAAATYTAGGCATATATCATTCTCGTGGTTATAAAATAGACATTTGACAGGATTTTTGTGCATATCATCATCATGGTCTGATAAGTCCTCATTTGATTCCAACTTTTAGACAAAATGTCTCTTGATTACTTGAGCTAAATTAACTGGTATTGTGAATTCTTAGTCAGATTACTGTTTTCGAATGTGATTGTTTTTTGGTATCTCGTCATTATCATCGTGTTTATGGATTGTCAAATAGTTGCTATATCTTTGAAGTTAATTTATCAATATCATCTTTCATTTGATGACCCTTTTTATACTTTTTTACAGCAGCAGGCTAAAAATTGTCATCCAAGTGAAGGGAAAAATCTGGAAAATGGAAGTCAAAGGGTCTACTTTCGTTGAGTGATCTAAGGAGTCTGTACATATATAACATCTCCACACATAACAGAGGACGCAACGGGGCGGGCAACCGAATCTCTTTCCTTTACCTCTCTAGACTGCGGTTGTAAGTTCCGTTCTTATGGCTCGAATCGATTTCCATTTGACCCAATGAGTTTGCAAATGCTCTTGTAACTGTCTTTTTGAAATCCCAACTTGGAGATATAGATTGTAAAATGCTGAAACTGTAACTCTGAACATCATTTTGCCATGCCCAAATATTAAGAATTTTTTTAGCATTTCTAGTTTACCCAGACATAATTATTCAAATCCTGGTTTTCGAGCACAAATCACCGAATGTTCGTAGCTGACATAGCCTTAGCTTTGGTCTAAGAAATAATAATTTGTCAAGTTAGGTCATGGAGATGTGATTTGTGGAAATTAATCTACTTTTTGCTATTCTTTTTGCTATTATTTGTCAAGTCTGGTTTGGTTTTTGCTATTTAAGTTACCAGAAGATCCCAAAAGGAAGAACAATAACAGTATGTGAAGCATAGTGGCCAAATATTGTTGTGTTCCTCTTTTTTGATCTTCAATAACCTTATAAAAAAGTGCTATAGAAATCAAACTCCAGATAGGATTGATGGAGTTGGTTAGACGAACCAAACGATACTTTGGTTTCAATAACATTTAGGAATGGGGATTTGAATCGCTGACTTTTTGATTAAGGATGTATGTCTTAATTAGTTGAGTTATGATTATGTTGACAACCAAACTAAACATGTGAATCTAGCAAGATGCTGTTATTTTCCTCCTCTATATGGATCACATTGTTCTATGAAACTCTGGTTCTTTTTTCTACCTTTTGCATCAAGTAGATGATGACAACTCAAAGCGAAAATCAACTTGCTCGAGTTAAGCTCAGTTGGTGTCTGTGATAGTCATTTGCCATGTTTCTATGAAAAGACAAACTACTCAATGTAGCTAGCGTAACATAGTTTTATGGCCGTTGGATGTATTGTAGAGGGAGATTGAAAAACGTATTTTTAGATCATGGATCGAAGGGTCGTAGAAGCGACTGAGTACATATCACACAGTAGCCACTCCACTTCCAATAATTCTTTTAGGGAGAGAGAGAGATAATTATGGTTGGGGAATATTTTGAGAGAGATATGAAACAAATGGGATTATGAAGCATATTTTGTTGTTAGGGAAAACAAACAAAAGCAAGGAAATTTCAGAGAAATTGAGTTGTTTAACTTTGTGTGCAAAATAGAGCCAAAATACTCAGACCATGTCCCTTTCCCTTACCTTACTCTTACCCCTTCCCTTCTCTCGCACACATTTTAATCATATTATTTTAGTTTTTTATTATTATCATTGTCCTTTTTTTTTTCCTTCCCCTCTTCTCCTCCCCCACACATTTGAATCATATTTTCCTTCTTTTTCTTTTGTTTAATTCATATCAGTAAAATACATTCAGTTATCAATTTTTATTTGGATTTACTTGACATAATATATATTCTTTGTTAGCAAAGGGTATCTCATAATTTTCAAAACTTCCCTAACATTTTTTTGAACTTTGCACAAAAAACGAAAAGAAATCATTTAATCCTTATTGTTTCTATTTTTTTCCAAACATAAATTGTTAATTTTTTCAGGAGATCGAACTTTTAACCTTAGGGAATATAATAGATACTCGGATTGATACATCTTTTATTAATTAGTGAGATAGTTATGTGAATAATTTTTTTTCTTTTCGAATAACAAATGTAGGTGGAGATTTGAACTTCCGATCTTAAGAAAAATATATGTCTTAATCATTGAGCTACGCTCATGTTAGATGGACAAATTTTTAATCAACGTCTAGTAGGACAATTATTGGAATAGATTTTTAAATTTTGGTTAAACGATTGAAAAATTTACTGACAATGATTAAGATCTTTTTTTTTTAATGTGAAGTTTTAGAAACTAGAACATAATATTTTAAAGTTTAAGAACTAAAATACAACGTTTGACAATTAGAGATAAGAAAAATAAAATAAAAATGTAAAAGTTTAACCAAAATATTTATTTATTTATTATTATTATTTGTTTTTTTTTTGGGAGAAAATGCATAGTTATTTCATTTCCCATGCATTGATCGTGTTGTTTTTATGCAAATAGTGAGGTGCTGCTGAAGAATAGATAAAACAAATTATTAGTTTTCAGATTCACTGAAGATTTGAATCGAGGAATTGAAATTAAAATAATATTGATTTTTTTTTTCGGGAAAAAATAATGTAGCTTATGTTGTTTTTTAGTTTCAATTATTGGAATCCAATGACAAATAAGAAGTCATAATTTGAATATGAAAAAGGGAATTACCTTTACGTTTACTAACTCTCTCTCACTCGCAAGAGA